AATATATTTTTAAAAATATATTCTATAATAAATATATACCCATATCATTAATAAATTATTATTTTATTTAAAAAATATTAAATACAATTAAATTTTCTAGGCAAATTTGTCTGAAATACAGTTTAAGAGATAATATATTTTTATATATAGAACAGAATTACTTAAAACATAAAAATAGATTAATTAATAAAATTTTAAAAATAATATTTTTTATAATTTTATTAATAAAATTATAAAAAATATTATGATCTTTAAAATTTTACTAATTAATTCTATCTTTATATTCTAAGAAATTTTATTCTATAATTTATAAACTTTTAAACTAAATCTAAACTAAATCTATACTTGATTTAAAAATTCAATATTGAACTACCTTTTTTTAAAAAATATTCAAGTTTGGTAGTTCAATTTAATTTTAAACTAAATTTGAACTTGATCAAAAGTTTAGTTTAGTTTAGTTTATAAAAATACTATTTCTGAGTATTTTTAAAAACAGCCAAAAGATATCAAACCTAGAGTAGTTAAGAAAAATTATATTAATTTATAATACATTAATTCTAATAAAGATTATTGAAGAAAAAAAATTAAGATATTACTCTATAACAAAACTTTTAACTCAACCCATGTATTATCCACCTAAAGTTTATTAAAATAAATTAATTTTTTTTATTTAAAGTTCAAAAATACTATATCAATTTAATGTTGTTACAAATGCATTAGTTAATACTTTTTTTTTCTTTGATTCAAAATAAATATAAATATTGCAAAATACATCTGCATGTTATACTGTATTTTTACTCACACAAACCTGACAATAAGAATTACATGACACCGAATAACGAAATTGCGTAATACGTATCAAGATGATGAATTTACATAATACCAGTTTGTGCTAGTTTTACCTCATCTCTAGATGAAATATCGAATATGCGATATATAAATTATCTCTTAAAATCTTGCTATTTTTTAAACTATTGCTAAAGCTTTAAAAAAGAATCTTACCTAAAAAAAAAACAAAACTTTTAGTTTCAAATTAAAAAACACCTTTACCCAATAAAAACCGAAAGTACTGTATATTTGATACAAATTTCTATATAAAATTACAAAACAATTATTTAATTATAGTTAAAAAAAACTACACGTTACAAATCATGTGACCTCTAAAATGTTAATCTAGTAATTTTGACTAAAAAAATGCTAAAGTGAAGAAGTAATTTTACCACTATTTTTTGAAATTTGTGAAATTGGTGTTGAATGGGTGAAATAAATTCACCAACATCTCTAATTTTGACATCAACAAACAACGTAATTCATAACCAATCAAAAAGTACAAAATAATACAGTCTAGTAGAGATTAAATTATTTATTAATTTTATTTAAGCCGAACCATCAAATAAACGATTTACCGTACTCTCTAGCAATGCCGAATCGTATCTTATATATTTTGTTGGATTTTTTGAGAATTCAGTTTGTTGATGTCTGCAAAAAAAAAAAAAATTAAAATAAATTAATTTAAAAACTCAAGTAGTATGAAAATAATGTCTTGGCTATTGAGTACTGGAGGAAACGATGTTTCCGTCTGTACACATAAGGCACAGGATATCATTAAGATCCCGTGAACCTAATATAGAGGTCTGGATATTAAAAGAATAACATCCTTACTTTTCCAAAAAACGATTATACATAGGTATCAAAACAGCTCTAATATCTCTTATAACTTGGCTACGGAGTTCAAGATCAGGCATCGCGTAACCTTTGTGAACTTTGTAAAGTTCATCAAATTCAGTATTGAAATTCTAGTTAAATAAACCATTCAAAGACGTTAAATTAATAGTTATTAAATAGAAAAGCGCAACTTCAAATAAATTTACAGTACCTTAAATTTTTCTTTGACAGTTTGTTTTTCATTTGAACCTAAAGTAGTCTTTAAAGCACCACCGCGGACCCATGTATAATCCATAAGATTAGAGAAACATGGTTTCCATCTATTTTTTTTAAATATATTAGAGCAAGTTTTATAATGTTACAATTATCATATGGGAAAACAACTTACGTATCCTGATATGCATCATTCCACTTTTTCACCATTTTATCAAATTTGGACTCAACCTCTGGATCCAGAACTGACATGAATTGAGTCCTTATAGATTTTAATATGTAATAATAATTATTTAGTAAAAAGATAGCGGTCAACGCGGGCTTTTTATATTGTTTTGATTTACTATCAAGGCTTTGGGCTAAACAATCCAAAACATCAGCTACATAAGCATAATTGAAAGCTTGATTAATAAACTAGTACATAATTTAACGATGTAAAAAAATAATATATATATTTCAGAAAATACCGAAATAATGCTTCATGACAGCATTGCCAGAAATTCTCCCGTTCCTATCTCGAGAGAAATTAGGATCTTTCTCTGAAGCATTCCAATTACCATCACCCAATGTTAACAAAGTTGATTCAATAGTTTCTGGGTAATCAGTTAGTCGTTTCAAGTGTTGTAAAGTCTAAAGAGAATCAGTTATGAAATAATCGATGCTAATAATCCATATTCAATGTAGAAAATTAGGAACCAAAATACATACTGTAATTGTCAATTCATGTACAGTACCATCATTTGGAAGGCCAGATTGTTTAGTGGGATGGCCCTAATGTACGAAAAAAGTCAGCATAAACAATATAGGCCAAATTTTATTACATGTTTATTTACCTTAATTTCATCCAAGAACTCTGGAAAAGAACGTATAGCAACTGCTCGCAATGAATGAAGCAGATCACCAAATGCAGGATCTTTTTTACTAGCGAGCTTTTTTCCAAAAAATAAATAAATAAATAAATAAATATAAAAATAAAAAATAAAGAACAAGAATAAAGGAGAACTTAGTGCTATTCAGAAAACTCCATAATTACTTTAAATATTTCTTCAAAGTTACTCATATTCAGATTTAATGTTTCCATCATATCAAGAACTAGATATATGTCAGTTTGCATATTCTTTTTTACACGAATATTCAATGCTTTTCCTATCTCCACAAAATTATCGATTGATGGCTGTATAGCATCTCTGAAACTACTCGAAACATATTCTAATGGAAGTATTTTTTCGGCAACTCTATATTCTGCCTAAAAAAAAATAAAAATAAAAATAAAAAAAAATAAAAATAAAATTACAAAAATAAAAATAAAAATAAAAATACAAAAATAAAAATAAAAATAATAAAAAAAATATAAATAAAAAAAATAAAATAAAAATAATAAAAAAAATATAAATAAAATAAAATAAATAAAAATAAAAAATAAAAATAAAAATAAAAATAAAAATAAAAAATAAAAATAAAATAAAAATAAATAAAATAAATAAATAAAACAAATTTAATTGTAATTAAAATAAATACAAAAAACATATAAAAGTAATACCATAAACATCATCAATACAGCCTCAGTGTATGAGTTGAAGCCACATGTACCCTTTTCATATACCGGGGTACTTCTCTTTTCAGCAGTGCTGATTGAAGCCTGAGCCAGCATTGTTAATGATTTCACGAGATAATTT